CGCCGCCGTGCTTCTGTCCCGGCCCCGGGCCACCCACGGGGCGGCCGGCGCGCCTGGCCCCGGGATCTGCAGACCCCCGAAGGTAAATCCGCCCTAAAGCCTGGCGGCTAGATCGCCAGGGGACCAGCGACGGGGGCGGGCGTCTGGCTGGCGGCGGAGCGGCACGTCCCGCGGCGAGTTTCCCAGGAGAGCTGAACTCGCCCCAAGTCTGTGGTGCATCAGCTTGCACCCGGCGAGTTGGTGGCGGGCTCGTTCTGTGCGGGTGGTCTCTGGGCGCGGGAAGGGCCGGAGGCGATTGCATTGACCCGCTCGGTCTGCTGCCCAGACTTCTAACCGGATCGGCAGCGCGCTGGGCGCCCGTTTGCCCGGGAATGGCGGGTCAGCGCCGTGCGGCTGTGCCCGGGGCCCCAGCCGGGGTCGGCCGGCTCCGAGGGCGCGTGTCTGCAGGGCGTGCCGGGGCCGGAGGCAACCTCTGTAACTTCTTTCCTCTTTAGGCGAAGCTAGCGAGGTGCTGTTTCCCCGGGGCTGGCGCCTGAGGCTCCGCTATGGACGGCGAGAGCGAAGTGGACTTTTCCCGCAAAAGCGTAACCCCTTTGTGGCGGCGGAGGTCGACCCCTCAGCCCTTGCTGCTGGCCAGGAGCAAGGCGAGGCCCCAGTCGTACCAGAGCCCCAGCGGGCTGCTGATCACGGATTTCCCGGTGGAGGATCGAGGGTCGCTCCCCGCGGCGCAGACTCCCGCCCAGGTGCCCGCCGCCTCGGACGGTAGGACGGTCCAGAGGAGCCCCCTGCTTCTGGGCGCCCCCCAGAGGGCCGTGGCCAATGGGAGGACGGTCTCCCCGGAGTGCCGGGCCGCTTCTCCCCGGGTCCGACGGCCCAAGTCACCCCAGACCCCCAAACCGGCGTCGGGTGGCTCCCCGAAACTCTCAGCCAATGGCACAGTGACCTCGCCTGCGCCGCTGCGCTCCCCGCGGACTCCTAACGCGCCCGCCCCCTGCGGCCCCCAGGAGGACCCCACTGGGCTGAACGCCAGCCCCGCGTCCGCGCCCACAGCGAATGGGCTTGCCCATATTAGCCACTTCACTGCCCCCCGCTGGCACTCCGACCCCGAGCCGGGATCCTGGAGACTCTCGCCTGCGCCCCAGAAAAGGTCTTCGGAACAAACACTCCCCCTCCAAAGGCTGCCCTCCCCGGCGAGCGAGCTCCCGGAGCATCCTGCCGTGGTTTTGAGTACAAACAGCCCCGCCGCCCTCAAAGTGGGGAAGCAGCAGATCATTCCGAAAAGCCTGGCCTCGGAAATTAAAATAAGTAAATCCAGCAGCCAGAATGTGGAGCCCCACAAAAGAATCCTCAAGGTGCGCAGCATGGTGGAGAGCCTCGGGGCGTCCCTTGGCCACTCGGGGGATGAGGGTGAGGCCGAGAACGACCTGGACAGCCCGGGGTCTCTGCGGCGAGGCTTGCGTTCCACGTCCTATCGCAGAGCGGTGGTCAGTGGCTTCGATTTTGACAGTCCTACCAGCTCGAAGAAGAAGAACAGAATGTCCCAGCCAGTTCTGAAAGCAGTGGTGGAAGACAAAGAGAAGTTTTCCAGCCTGGGAAGGATAAAGGTGAGAGAGGAAAAGTGAGAGTGTCGTAAACCAGCATGCTAAGCCTGGGTGAGCGTGGTGGGGTGGGGTGCAGAGGAAATCAGAAGTTCTGATCCTCTTTTGTTTTGCGGGAGATACCTGGGCACAGAGATCTTTCGGCCATTCTGTTGCTGGTAGACACAGCCAGGGTTGGTAGGCATGTTTGTGGGAGGAAGTGAAACTCAGGACGAGTGTTTGAACTTCCTAAGCTCAGGCACAATTTTGGGGGCAAAACCAGGAAATTTATGGCTGAATGAGTCCTGAGCGCTTTTAATACAGGTAACTGAAAACTGGCGGGATCTGCCCTCTTGATTGGGATCAAGCTGTCTGGTGCTTGTATAGGGTGTCAGTGGTTACCAATTCCATTACAGTCCATACAAAAAACCTGTTGCCATCGAGTGCATTCTAACTCATAGCGACCCTCTAGGACAGAGCAGAACTGCCCCATAGGGTTTCCAAGGAGCGGCTGGTGGATTCGAACTGCCGACCTCTCGGTTAGCAGCCAAATGCTTGATTGCTGAGGAGAATATTTATTCACGTTTCAGCTCATTGATTATCTTCTGCTTTAATTAGTGAATTTGTTTTTTGAGTGATGATCACCCACTTGATGTCATTCAGGTAAAAGGTGAATTTTTAAAACAGTTGCCAGAATCACAAAAGGCACAAATAGTTGGTTATCTTTTTTTGTTGCTCGGTTTGGTCACCGTGACCTCTGGCTGTATTTCATTCTCATTTTCTGCCCGTTTGTTCTTGAGTGCATTTAACAAATCAGCAGCTCAGAACTTCAGGTGAGGGTGAGCTGTGTGGAATTGCTTCCTTGATTAAGGCCCAGGAGCTGCAACTTACTAAAATTCTGTCAAATAGGACATTTCCTTAAAAAGGGAAAATGAGAGAGGGAGATTTTGGAGTGGGCGTGCTGCCTTCTCCAGAAAGGAGAGAAATCTAGGCAGTAGGGCAGCCATTCATTTTGGCAGCCTCATTGAGTCCTGATTAATCAGAGGACTGGAACCAGTCTATAAATGTCACATATGTAATACACAGGCAAGACTGTTTTGTTTTAGAACCTTACCCTCTTAAAGAGAAAAAGTTACATAACATTTTATGTGTTTTTTTCCCCACCTCTGCAAGTTCAGTTTAACAGAGATGGTGAATCACAAGAAGTGAAATGAACTGAACTGTTGGTCAGTTGCAGATACTCAGGCTACTTTGCCGGGGATTGGGGGACAGAGTACTTTTTATTTCACTTATTTTGTGACTTGTAGTGATCCTATGAGAGAGCTGCTCCTGGGATCATCTGCAGTGTGCTTTTGGGAAGCTGATGGATGTAAGAAACAACGAAAAAGTATTTTTACTTAAAGTAGCTGTGTTTTCTGTTTGGCTCATTTATACATAGTTTGCTTTGCTTTCTCCTTTGTTTGCCCTTCTTGTTTCTTAGAAAGAAATGCTGAAAGGACAAGGAACATTTGATGGAGAAGGTAAGTGTTTGATTTTCCAGACTTTGATTGCTGTTTCAATGTGGAATATCAATTATAAGTTGAAATCCGATTGCAGGAACAAAAACACTTAAAATGAGAAAAATGTTCAACCTCTTCCCATGTTATACAGTGCAAAGCTCTGTGCTAAGCTAAAAATGTCTTCTAGCAATGCCAACAATGAACACAATCAGTGGTGTTCTTTATAAACTGGTAACTGTGTCAGTCAGTGTCCTGGGATTTTTAATTCCTCTTTCCTCCACTGACTCCACCCCCACTTGCCTCAAAAATATAAAGGAAAAGCAAGCTTTAGCTTCTTTAATTAAAAATTCTGAGAGTTTGGCATTTAGATCTGAGGTCATCGTTCCTTTTGACTTAATATTCTTCCCCCCCTCCATATTTCCACATTTTATTATTGTTCCTGATTTCCTGTTTCATTATCAAGTTTCAGATTTGGGGAACTATAACTTTCCTGGCTGACAGAAACATATCCCTAAGAATTTATAACCTGTATAATATTGTTGTTAAGGATCTCAAGGGCAAACAGCAGCTTTAACCAGGTGTTCACACCTTGATCAGATTAGTGGGCTCTCTGTAAATAGATGGTCATACGTCAGCCGACTGGAAGAGCATGAAGGGAGCAGTCCCAGCCGAGGCCTTGCAGGCTGCAGGATCTCGGTGGCAGGAAGGATAGTTACTTTCTGTCATGCTTTGAAATGCTAGGGTTTTTCAGCCTTTAAAGAATAATGAATATTCTTCATATCCTGTAAGTAAATCTTATGTGAAACCATTCAGAGTTGCAAAATACATAAATAACCTTGAGTGACTCCAAAAAGATGTTCCCTACAGTTTTTGTAAAAGTCAGTTGCCCGCTGGAGCATTATTCAATACGACCCCACTCACTGTTGTCAAGTGGATTCGACCTATAGCGACCAAACAGGACAGAGCAGATCTGCCCAATAGGGTTTCCAAGGCTGCAGATCTTTGTGGAAGCAGGCTGCCACATCTTTCTCCCACGTAACTATGACCAGTTTATAAAATTTCATTCACTTCACCCAGTCTTAGGAAACAGTTCTAAGTAGAGAAGACACCCTGAAAGAGTATTTTAGCTGGTTGCGACAAGTTCATCTCCCTGACTTTATACGGAACAGACCAAAAGCTCTGAGAGGTTTAGTGACTTGTCCACTGTCACGTAGCTAGTAGCAGAGCCAGCACTACAACCCCGACCTTCTGGCTCTGAGCCCCGTTTGTGTTCTCTTGTGCCATTCTAAAAACAGCCAGTTTCTCAGTTGCCACCGAGGCGATTTCAACTCGTGGCGAGCCCCCTATGTGTCAGAGTACACCCGTACTCCAGAGAGTTTTAGTGGCTGATTTTTTTGGGAGTACATTGCCAGGCCTTTCTTCCTAGGCACCTCTGGGTGGACTCGAACCACCAGCCCTTTGATCAGTAGCCAGTCCTGTTAACCATTTGCCCTACCCAGGGGCTCCACCCTATGAACACAAAACTAGCAGAGCGTCTACCTGGTGCTGTTTCTTAGGGAGGTGCTTTGCGTCCTCTGGGATTTGACACTGATTCTGTGACTTGCTTCAGAGAGCTGCCGCATTTAATTTTTTTCAGGTCAGAGGACAGACCTTCATCATGACTAGTTTCGTGTTGTTTCCTTTTACAAGGAGCTGTGTCTCTGCACTCTCTCTTGTCTCTCTCTTCTCAAATATGGTAGTCCTAAAATTCTTCTCCACGTGTATGCACACAAGGACTGCAGGGTTCTTACAGCTAATGACTGGACAAGCGCGATGACTTGGGAGGCAGTGTGGTAGTGTGGTGAGCGCCTGTGATGGTGGAACTGAGCAGGCCTGGGTTCCGGTCCTACTCCTTTTACTCACTGATAGGGTGACACGGAGTGAGTGCCTTAACTTCACTGATCCCCAGTTTCATCATGTGTGAAATGGGGTTGATAACACTAATGTTCACATTGTTGTGAGAATGAATGAGAAATCATATAGTCATTGTTGTTATGCATACGAACCAAAACTGAACCTGTTGCCATGGAGTCAATTCTGACTCATAGCAACCTTATAGGGCAGAGCAGAACGGTCCCATACGGTTTCTAAGGAGTGGCTGGTGAATTTGAACTGCCAACCTTTTGGTTAGCAGCCATGGTTCTTAACCACTGCACCACCAAGGCTCCATATAGTACGTGCCAACCACTAAGTACTTGAAAGGGTACTATAGGGATGGGATGGAGCCTTCGACAGTTCGAATCCACCAGCTGCTCCTTGGAAACCCTATAGGGCAGTTCTACTCTGTCCTGTAGGGTCGCTATGAGTCGGAATTAACTCGACAGCAGTGGGTTTGGTTTTTACGTGGATGGGGGAGACTCAGTCTTTACCCTCATAAGCAGTGTTACATAGGCAGAACAATCAGAGAAGAGCAAAATCTTGCGTAGGCTCGGGTGATGCTCTGGTCATGATTGCATATAGAACATACTGTGGGAAGTCAGAGAAGAGGCGGAGATTTGCGTGCTTCAGTAGATGGGAAAGGCACCTCAAATTCAGAATGTCCCCCTCCCCCCAAAAAAGGACAATTGCCAGCCAGTTGACTGACGCATGGCGACCCCCATGTGTCAGAGGAGAACTGTGCTCCACAGGCTTTTCAGTGGCTGATTTCTCAGACGTAGATCACCAGGCCGTTCTTTTGAGGTATCTCTGGGTAGACAGGAACCTCCAACCTTTGGGTTACTAGCTGAACTATTAACTATTTGCACCACCCAGGAACTCCTAAACCTGAGTATCTTCTGGTCTTTCCGTCTCCTTTGCATGGTGGGACCCGAAGACCTGGGAAACCTTAACACCACCTGCCTCTTCCCAGTCCCCACATGCAGTCCATCACCAAGTTCTTTCCGAGTGGCGTACCCCAAGGCTCTGTTATCTTTCGTCGATCAACCGTCAGCGTCCTAATTGTTCTCCCAGGTAGTTCAGTGTCCTGTTCCTCCAATCTAATCAAACCTTTCCTTTCAGTGGATTCCCATTTCATTCAGGATAAAATACAGTCTTCCCAGTGTAAAGAAACCTAATCCTTCTGTACTCGGGATAAAATCCATTTCCTTAACTAGGCCTACGAAGCCCTGCTTTGTCTGACTGGCTCACCTCCCTAAGCCCACCGTGCACCCTTTGCCCACTAGACACCTCAGTTCCAGCCACATTGACCTTCCTTAGTTCCTGGAAAGTATTAAGTTTCCTCCTGCTTCAGGACTTTTGCATATGCTTTTTCCTTTAGCTCTGCAAATTTTCAGCTTGCAGACCTTAGATTTTCCTCCTTGACGCCGTCCCAACCCCTAGACCAGCCCACACCTTGCCTACAGTCTGTTCTCAGACCATTCCGTTTGTAGGTGTGTTTTGGGGTAAGATCACTGTGTCCCCACAACCCTCTGATAACTTGCCACCTCATTTGGAGTAAAACCCAAAACCATTTCAATGGCATAGAGCCGAGGCCCTGCATGATCTGCCCTCTCCCCACCGCACCTCCTATCTCCTCTAGTTTCCCCTCCTTGCTCACTCTGCTCCAGCCACCCAGGCCTCCTTGCTGCTCCTTGAACCTGCAGACGTACAAGCACACTTTGGCCTCAGGGCCTGTGCACCTGCTGATTCCTCTGATGGGATGCTGTTTCCCTGCTGTGCGTACATACAGGTGACTTGCTTTCTCGCCTCTTCTAGGTCTTTGCTGAAATGTCAGCTTGGTGAAGCCTTCCTGTCGTTGTTACGTGTCCTCCAGTCAGTTCCGACTCATAGCGACCCTGTGTACAACAAAATGAAACACTGCCTGGTCCTGCGCCATGCCCACAATTGTTAGGTTTGAGCCCATTGTTGCAGCCGCTGCGTCAGTCCATCTTGTTGAGGGTCTTCCTCTTTTCACTGACCCTGTACTTTACCAAGCATGATGTCCTCCTCCAGGGACTGGTCCCCCCGATAACATATCCAAAGTATGTGAGACGAAGTCTTGCCATCCTTGCTTCTAAGGAGCATTCTGGCTGTACTTCTTCCAAGACAGATTTGTTCATTCCTCTGGCAGGCCATGGTATATTCAGTATTCTTTGCCAACACCAGAATTCAGAAGCATCAGTTCTTCTTCAGTCTTCCTTATTCGTTGTCCAGCTTTCACATGCATATGAGGCAACTGAAAACACCATAGGTTGGGTCAGGTGAACCTTAGTCCTCAAAGTCACATCTTTGGTTTTTAACCCTTTAAAGAGGTCTTTTGCAGCAGATTTGCCCAATGCTTTCCTAAACCACCCCATCCAAAAAATCTACCACCCTCCCAACACCCTCAACCCCCTTTTCCTGTTTTGTTTTCTCCATGGCATTTGTCATCATCCGATATACTGTGGGAGCCCTGTGGTGCAGTGGTTAAGCGCTCGGCTGCTAACCGAAAGGTTACTGGTTCCAACCTACCAGCCGCTCCGCAAGAGAAAGATGTGGCGGTCTGCTTCTGTGAAGATTTCAGCCTCAGAAACCCTATGGGCAGCTCTGCTGTGCCCTACAGGGTCGCTCTGAGTTGGCATCGGCTTGACGGCGGCAGGTTTTGTTTGGTTTTTGGTACACTGTAAAAGTTACTTGTTCATTGCCATTATCCCCTCACTCTAATGCCAGTGTCGTGAAGTTCAAGATTTTTATCTCCTGTGTCTGTTGCTGGGTTTCTAGTGCCAGCAGCACTGCCACCGAGTAGGCACTCTCTAAATATCAGTAGGAGGAATAAATGCGTGAGTGAATTCGACTGTTTTTCTCGCTAGATTGTTAGTCCGTGAAGGCACAAGAGGTATCTCTGGTTTCTCCTTTTATGCCCAGCCCTTGAAACACAGCCCAAAAAGCCAAAATCCAAACCCACTGCTGCCGAGTTAATTCTGATTCCGTGCTATTTGTTAAGAAGATAAATGAGTGGTGATGGACCTTGAAGGAAAGGTAGGGTGGGAATTCAGTTTTCACCTAAAAACAGTGATTTAATAGGGCCCTACTACCATTCATGGTGGTGGTGTTGTTAGGTGCTGTCTGGTCAATTCTGACTCATAGCAACCCTGTAGGATAGAGGGGAACTGCCCCCTAGGGTTTTCTAGGTTGTAATCTTTACAGGTTACAGATCAACAGGTCTTTTCTTGTGGAACTGCTGGGCAGGTTCCAACCGCCAACCTTTCGGTTAGTAGCTGAGCGCTTAGCTGTTGTGCCACCAGGCCATGGATAGAAACATTTCATAGATGGGCCCCTCTCCTCCCCTGCAGATGAGGTAGAGACAAAGCTGTCTGAGTGAGAAAATCACTTTTCTATGGTTATTCTTTAGTGACAAGATCCCGTCGTCTCGCTGTTGTTTATCAGACTGAAGACGAAACGTGTATAAATATGGATGTTTGTATAGAACAAGTAGTGTAATGACTGGGGCTCATTAGTGACGTATAGGGATTGTTTTTATTGCAGAAAACGCAGTCCTGTATCAGAACTATAAAGAAAAGGCTCTTGACATTGACTCTGATGAAGAGTCAGAACCCAAAGGACAGAAGTCAGATGAAAAAATTGTGGTTCACCATAAGCCGCTGAGGTCCACGTGGAGCCAGCTCTCTGCGGTGAGTGCTTACCTTTTTCTTTTCTAGCTGGGAGAAAAAACTCCAGTTGTGGAAATTACACGTGGAGGTGGTTTTAATTTTTTCTGCCAACAATTCTGTAATCCTAAGGTGGAAGACCTTTCTTTTTAGATTGTGAAATGTTTCTTGACACTCTGCAAGCACTAATGAGATACTTCTGATCAGGGAAACTGGGGTTTGATAAAGTAAACTGGTATGAGACTGAATGTACTACGAACTCTAGAAACTTCCCCCTCGGCATCCTTTTTGGCTTTTGTTCTTTTCCTGTAGTGTATACACAGTGGTAACTTAACATATCCTGGACTTTTTGTCATAATTATGCAGTGTGTATGTATATATGTGTGTCTGGAGCCCTGGTGGCACGGTGATTAAGACCTCAACTGCTAACCAACAGGTCAGCAGTTCAAATCCACCAGGCGCTCCTTGGAAACCCTGTAGGGCAGTTCTACTCTGTCCTTTAGGGTTGCTATGAGTTGGAATCGACTTGACGGCGACGGGTTTGGGTTTTTTTTTGGTTTATATATGTGTGTGCACACAGTAGGGAAATTATGAACGTGTTTCCTTGGCAGTTTCATTTGCTATAGGCACATCTATCCATGTTTTTTTGAAGTTGATGAACGAAGAGTGTTCTTTTCCATTTCCGTCTGGGCATCTTTTGTGTGTGTGTGTGTGATACTTACTTTTGTGTTGAGTAATTTCTCCTCTCTGCATCAGGCTTTTTTTTGGGAGGAGGGCGTAATTTCTTTTTCTACTGGCTTAAAAAATAGCACACTGTGATGCTTACTTGACTCGATGTGAGTCTGGGCACAGCGTTTGCAGGCATCTGGCTCATTCACCAGTAGAAAGGAATTCCCGTGGCTTGTCTGTGCCCTGCGTCGAATGGTGGAGGCATCACATCCAAAGCCAGCCAGGACAGCTCAGTGAAGCCTTGAGCAGCAGGGGGGTAGAGCTGATTCCTTGCTAAGCTTCAAGGAGCTTTGTTCAACATCAGGAATCCCGTGTATTTAGGAACCATCAGCGTAAGAAAAGGGGTTATGTATGTGAGAGCTGCGGGACCAAGGACCTGGAACTGTGTGTATCGTATTGGTATTGAAAATTTTGGAAACCAAGCCTTTTTTTCCCTCACCCCCCAACCCCCCAGTTTTGTCCTAAGGAGATTCTGTTCCTTTCCAGCGCCTCCAATATGGGGCTACCCTTCGTATTATGTCCCAAATGAAAATGCCTCCGGGGCAGGGCAGGTAATGTGAATAAGTCATGCTAGTGAGTGTGGGATGCTAGGAAATGGTGGAGACTGGTGAGCAGGCCTTAAAGAAATCGAGCAGCTGCCGCTAAGCTCAAGCCAGGTAAATATCAGGGCCGGATGTTACCAGAACTTTTGGATACTTAAAAAGAAAATCCAGAAATCCAGACTTTTATGAGAATTATCCTCTTCCAAATTTTTAAAAAAGGTTGTGTGAGCCCAACAAAAATATCCCTTGGCCAGATGTGGCCTGGGCTCCCACAGTCTGCACCCTCTTCTCTTCGGGGTATGTTTATGACTTTTCCACATGGTGACGTAGTAACTCCTATCCACAAAATGGGAATTTGTAGCCAGCTATCTTAATCTAACGATCTCATGATGTACATATACCCAGGCAGATGGTTGGAAAAGGCGGCCACGAGGCCTTTGGAGGCTGTGTAGGCTTTAAGTGGCTGTCAGTGTCTTGTTGGTGTGGACCAGTTGGTGAAGGATCCCGGAGCAGGGAGCTGTGGATTTTCTGAGTTCCCTGTCTCTGCAGCAGCTGCATTGGTTAGCGTAGGCCTCAGTCCTGCTGTTGGTCTTGAAGGCTAAACAGCAATGTAGTCTGCAATGTCAATGACACTCTGAATATCGGGCTGCCCTGTCTGCGTCTCCCAGAGCTTAGCCTTCACTGAGATTAGCACATGCTTGTGCAAATTAAAGTAATAGGGCACCTCCTTCAGTCCAGCTTCAAATACGGATGTGCGTTTTATTTGACAAAGGATGGACGTACCAAGGTGCCTTTGTTAACAAGATTGATGTCAAAGGGCTATCTTGTAATCAAATGCGAAACAATAAAATGGGTTCTAACTTTAGTTTGTGTTTTCTTGGAGTTGGGCGTTTCCGGGAGGCTGGTGTGTATTTATTTTATTGTGTTGCTCGCCAATCACATTTGATCCAGCCAGCACCGATTGGACTTTGCCATCTGGCACTGTGCTCAGATACCAGCCTGCGTTTCCTTTTCCCTTTGGTGCTTCTTTTTACTTCTAAAATGTTCTTTTGTTTTAAAGTACTTCAAGCGTGCAGAAAAAATAATGTGTGTGTGTGCATAGTGGATTTCTGTGTACCCAGCCTCCAGATCGCACAATGTTTACATTCTAATGCACAGGCCTGCCTTATGTTACACAGTTACAACTAACCCATGCCCTCTTCCCCAGCCCCCCACCCCCGCCCCCAGATGATCAGCATGCTGACCTTCTCCTGTGTCCTTTCTATGCTGGGTACCATCCACCAAAAAGATGCAGCCAGCTTTGGTTTTTAGCGAAGTAGGTATTTCCTAAAATAATAACGAAGAAAAGCAGCCGCTTAGAAGCCCAGAAGTTAGTAGATGTTGAAGTTGCAGCTAGGTCCCTCAGGAGAGCAGGCTTCATGAGTTACCTGCAGTGCCAGGAGGTCTCTCCTGAGGGCGGCACTTCCGTGCCTCTGCCTGACCGACTGCCCCACGCCCTTCTAGTAGAGGGCTGCGGTGGTTGGGGTAGCTCTCGGACGTCTGCTTTTTAAATATTTTCTGCATCATTCTTCCATGCTCAACTGTTGATACATCAAATTCGTAGGGAGCAGCCATCTAATCTTGCATATGTGGCTTTAATACAACACACTTCTTGGAGTAAGCCCTGGATCCCACAAAGAGAGTAAGACAAGGGGTTTTTCTGCAGCAGGTTAGGTGTGAATTTGGCACATGCCTTGACTTTCTGTTTGGGAAAGGTGTGGGTGGGTGCCCATGTGCAGTAGCGCTGTTGATTGTTTTATTTATTTTTTGATATCTCTTTTATCTTTTTTTCGAACACCTGTCCAGCTCCTGCAATCCTGAAGTTTGTTATCAGTTGAGTATAAGAAATGTTCAGTATGCTGAAGATTGTTTTGAAGTGCAGTCACTTGAAGTAATTTATAGTTGTTACATAAGACCTTTAAGCCTTCAGTCTGTAGCGTAATTTGTCTTCGCGTGTTTGTTTATGATACATGTCCTCTGGTTTCATTGGGTGTGGGGCAGTGTTCAAACATGGAGGTGACAGGTGCTTCCCCATATACAGGGTTGGGGCCAGTTCATCTGTAGCGCTGTGGTCATCTAGGAATAAGGGAGAATTTGAACTGTGTAAGACAGAGACTTAACTGGACTTCACTAGAATAATGAACGTCTAGGCTGCCACCAACTGTTATAGCAGGATTAAAGTGAAATAACTGGGTGCATTTAGCACTGGCAGCTCTGCTGACAGATTCTCTTGTGGAGTGGGTGGGGTTTCTCCTACTCAGGTCAATGACCTGGGTGCTGTAATTTCATAAGACGGTGACAGGCTCACTTTTCATTTACTTGATTGTCAACGCATGTAGATATTTTCTTAATTGGAATTATAGGATCCCTTCAATCCAGAGGAACATAGTTTGTGTTGCCCTTCAGGCCTTGGAGCTGACTCATTTGCTAGAAGTCATTTAAGTGGTCATGGTTCTCTTGTAGCTCTGGGAAAAGCTTGTGGGTTTGAAGGAAAGTATTGATTGTCTTATTAATCTGGGATAGAACATGAAGTGCTTGGGACAGTTTGTCCCAGGCGTGTAGCCAGCTGTGTCCTGGATGCAAAGTGACCTTCGGGTTTTTCCTAGGCTCATTCTTGACCGTCTCCTCTCTTAGTTCTTGACTGGAGTCTTTTTTGCTTTTACCCTAACTCTCCCCACCCCCGACTCCGGCCCCAAGAGCATGTATGCGTGCACAAAAAAATGACTGTGTGAAACCATTGTTTGTTCTGCTAAACTCAGTGACAGCATCGAAACCACACTCGCCAGCCGTACCCTGACCCCGTTTGTCTGCCATGGGGTGTGCTTGTGTAATTTCTATTACCTTGACATGCCTGGTTCCTTTGAAAGGGTGTGAAGGCTTCAGCGGCAGAAACCGAAGCCTGCTGGCATGTTTTCGGCTTGAATTCTACGCCTAATATAGTCATCCTCTATGAGACTCTCCTGCCTGCTGATCTGCAGCTTTATCATTCATCCTAAATTATTTTAAATGTTTCTTTAGTTTGCTCAAAAATGTTTGTCGGGGACCCGTTTCTATATTTTCACTGAAGTATTTCTTCAGCTATGCTGAGCGTTGCAAAAGGGTGATATACAAGATGTATAATTAGGACCTTGGTCTTCCGTATTCTGGGCTCAGCTTTTAAGGTATACATAGGTCCCCTTTGGATGACTTTCAGGAACTCGTGTAATGAAAAAGAGAGATTGGGAAAGCGGGAATTTTATTACGAATAGAATTGCATTCAGTTGAAAACATAACAGATGCTATGGAGTTTTAGCAGTTTGATCTCCTGGGACTTATTCTTTTAGAATTTGCACTGTGTTTATCGTGAAAGATATAGTATTTTCTGCTAAAGATCAGAGCTCCACAGCTGTAATAAACCCGATTATCATTCTGTTTGCAGAAATGCTTAATGTGTTCAGAGTTCATAGAAAACTTTCATTCTTTTCCCTTAAATTTTCACACCCATCTGAATTAATTCTCCGTTCGGTGACTTGTTGCTTAAAATAGCAATCTGTTCAGTTGCATAATTTTTCTTCTACGTTTTTGCAACACTGCAATCTCATAAAACGATCTTTTACCTTAGATGGTGATTAATGCCTTTCACCATAGCTATCTTTCGTGTTTAAACAATAGAAAACATATTGTCATTTTTCATATCTGGATTACGTTTAGCATTCATAGTGTAAACAGTTAGCC